ATCCATCCATCCATCCATCCATCCATCCATCCATCATTAGTAAAACCTGGCAGATGTTCTCCTCTGGAGGCCTTCAGGTATTTATGGAGAGAGCTCCTCCAACACTAACCTGGCTGAGATGATCTTAGCCCACTCACATTTTGACGTAGGGGTCTGAGAACCCGTTGACATCCATGGCTGCCAGGTGAGCACAGCGCCTCACGCCCACACAGAGGCCGCCATGCCGGCCTCCGTCTCCTCCATCGGCGTCCTCTGGATGGACGGGGGGCAGGAACTGGAGGGACAGCAGCAGACGTCCTCTCTCCTCCAGGCTGTGCAGCTGCTCGTTCTCCCACTGCAGAGAGGACCACACAGACCAGCTCAGTCCCAGCAGGTCCAGTCTGACCAGTTCTGTTCCACTGGTGACCTTCACCCAGGCTAGATGTGACGCGCTGGTTCAGTTGGAATCAAAATGTTTAGTTTACTATTTATTGTACTAATTTGACATAATCAGGATGATTCAGCCATTCATCGTTTCATTAACCCATTCACCCCCAGTCTGCCAAACCCAGTTCTTCCTGTCAAACTGGACCAGTGTCTCCATCCTGCAGACGTTCCCACAGAGACGAGGACAGCAGGTCTTCTTTCCCACCCTCAGATCCTCCATCTCTTCCTTCACATGCTGACCTGATCTGTATTCAGGCCGACATCCAGGAGGAGAGAGCAGCTTTGTGTGTCTGAAACATCTGCAGAGCTTTCATCCAGCTGACTTTAATGCTGCAGCAGCTGGAAATGTCATCAGCTTCCAGGTGAGCGGCTGACTGACAGCTGCGGCAAACATTTCCCACCACAGTGAGTGTTTGAAAGTAAAGGTCTGAGCTTCAGACGGCGCCCAGATCTCCTGACAGCTGGATTAACTGCTGGCTGGGTCTGAAAATCTGCCCTTCCATCAATCAAAAAGGATGAATTTAAACTTTTTACTGTTTCATTTGTTCAGGTGGGAAAACTGCAGGAATGAAGAGAGTCAGACCCTGAATCCAGGTGGCACTGAAAAATAAAGATTAGCAGAAACACTTGGAAGGAAAAGTCCTGTCAGAAGCTCTGGATTACAGATTAGATCCATAATCTCTGTTTTTCCTCAGTGTCTGAGCTGAATGCAGGTCAGACTGCAGCTGCTGCCTGGTTGATCATCATCAGCTCAACGTGTCGCTGAAGTCCATCTGTTCCACCTGCATGACTCAGATCAGCGACATGTTCTGCTGCAGCAGCTCAAAGGGAAACCCAAACAGTTCCTGGATCTGTGGATTATTCATGGACCAGATGCCTGAAGATGATCCGTAACCTGAGTCCGCTCCGTTTGATGCGACCTTCTGAAAACGAAGGTGTGTTTCTGTTTGATTTCTGCCTATAGGGAGGATTTATTAGATTCTGTCTGTTGGTTCTTTCCCTGCAGACATATTCAGCTTTGCACATAATTAATACAGAAGCACAGAGTCTGCGTTAAACTAACCACTCCATGAGAAATAATACTGAAGCTTTCAGGTTGATGCCTCTAATTAGACAGATTTTGTGCTCCAATTAATTCAATTAGACTATTTTTTCTATTCAAACAGAAACTGAAGCAAATGAACAAAGAGTAAAAACATTAAGCTGCTTAATTAGATCTCTGCTCAGACTCCAGTTAATCAGCAGAAAAGAAAAAAGCAGAGAAGCTGCTGCTTGTTTCTGTGTTTAGGCTCCATGTCATTAGCTAAAGCTCCTGTTTGTCTCCATGCTGAGTTCAAACGGCTGCAGAGGCAGCCGGTAAACACCTCTGCCTTTGTCCAAACACCTGCAGCATTTCTGAGCGGCAGGCTAACAAGCTCACACAGCCGGAAACAACAAGCAGAGGATTGGCTTCTGCAGTCTAACAGTCCACACACGTCCAAACGGGTCTCCTTTCCACCCCAGCCGCTCAGCCAAACACACAAACTTCATTAAAGATCGGAAACCTATCAGGACAGAGCTAGAACATAGAAATCCAATCTATATTTCTGCTGCTCTGTTGGATGAAAGCTGCACATTTTTCAATGTTTAAACATTGGAGATGTGCAGGCTGAGCCCCAGCAGGACATTCCTCCTCAGCTTCAGAGAGGAAGTCCTTAAAAACCAGCTGCTCACCACCAATCCATCACCACAGCTTCCAGCAGCCATTTTTTATTTTACAGGTATAATGAAAGTTAAACATAAATCCAAAAATAACCACATTTATAACTGGAGGCTAAAGAACGTTCAGCTGGGAGGAGGGCTGGGATCCATTTCAGGATGATTCAGCTACAGACGGTTAGTTATTAACCCTTTACTTCATCTCATTTATTACATGTTTTAGAATTAGTGAAAGAAATAATGTTGTTTAATAAAACGCCACTGATTGGGACTCAGAAGCATTTCTGGTTGCGCAAATGAGCTGATGGTTCGCATCGCGCTACTGGGACCAACTGGGTGGGAGAATCTGATTCTAGCTGAACCGTCCCGGAAGAACGATCCGTCCCGGAAGCACGATCCGTCCCGGAAGAACGATCCCTCCCGGAAGAACGATCCGTCCCAGAAGAACGATCCGTCCCGGAAGAACGATCCGTCCCGGAAGAACGATCCGTCCTGGAAGCACGATCCGTCCCGGAAGAACGATCCGTCCCGGAAGAACGATTTGTCCCGGAAGAACGATCCGTCCCGGAAGAACGATCCATCCCGGAAGAACGATCCATCCCAGAAGAACGATCCGTCCCGAAAGAACGATCCGTCCCGGAAGAACGGTTCGTCGAACGATTCGTCCCGGAAGAACGATCCGTCCCGGAAGAACAATTCGTCCCGGAAGAACAATTCGTCCCGGAAGAACGATCCGTCCCGGAAGAACGGTTCGTCCCGGAAGAACGATTCGTCCCCGAAGAACAATCCGTCCCGGAAGAACGATCCGTCCCGGAAGAACGGTTCGTCCCGGAAGAACGATTCGTCCCCGAAGAACAATCCGTCCCGGAAGAACAATTCGTCCCGGAAGAACAATCCGTCCCGGAAGAACGATTCGTCCCGGAAGAACGATTCGTCCAGGAAGAACGATTCGTCCCTAAAGAACGATTCGTCCCTAAAGAACGATGCGTCCCGGAAGAACAATTCGTCCCTAAAGAACGATTCGTCCCGGAAGAACAATTCGTCCCTAAAGAACGATTCGTCCCGGAAGAACAATCTGTATCATCATCAACCAGATATCCGGGTCGCCCTCCATTTTATTTTGTTAAAAAGACCTAAATTACATTTTCCCTCCCTAAAATAATTAACATACTAAACTATAATGCGTTAAAGGTTAATAATGTATTTCCTGATGAAATAAAAGCATTTAAATCCTTCCTGTTTCATCATCTGTTCCTGATCTGTAGGAAATGGGATGCTACGCTACTTCCAGGAGCTAACTTTATCAGCTTTGGATTTAAACAGAAATCTAGTCTTTTATAGTTTAATATTTTCCTTTCATGCTAACATTATGCTATATAGTGCGTAATCTAAAGAAAGAAACAACTAGAATGCAGATAAAGACGGTTTAATCAGATTTACTGCTCTGATCATGATGACGTCAGAGAAGCTGTTTAACAGAAAAAAAGCAGCAAAATTGTCTCAGAAAAGTCATTAAAATTGTTTTAAAGATGTTTTTTAGCATTATTTAGTGATTTAAGTATAGAAATAAGTAATTTCAGAACCATAATTACATTACCAATGGAAACCTGGATGTATATCTGGTTGAGCAAATGAGCTGATGGTACAGATCACTGATCTCTATTTATTGGGAAGCCATCAGCCGCCATCTTGGTACTCCCCCCTCCCACAGACGCGCCAT